TTTGCACTAATGTACTTAAGAACTGTTTCTATCCACAGGTTCGTCCCTTGGTTGGTCAGGAAAAGGTTCATAATGTTCCTCAGTGTGTGCACTTCATTCCAGATAAACCTCAGTTAATCTTGGGTAAAGATAGAGGCTTCACATTTGATTATGTATTTCCTCCAAAAACAACTCAGGTGAGAAAATTATCTGAATGTTAGTACCTCGTTAACAGGGTCACCTCGTTATTACGGCGACTCTTTTTGTCCCGGCAAAACGCCCATACATTTTCTTATAAGGAAACCCTCTTCAAGCTCACCACCCTATGAATATGGCCAATGGCCACATTCTGAAATCCCAGCCTGTATAATCCTTTGTTATTTTTGCTCCGTTCGTAGTCAGCCACTCAATCCAGTTATGTTCCTATTTCCATTGTTAATATTGTATACATTTCCTGATTGAAGTTTCAAATATTTTTAAAATTATATATATATAATGATCTGTATTCCTGATGCTCAATAAACAAGAGTTGTTCAGAAGTGCAATTGTGATTATATCTGAGAAGACTTCACTTGATTACGACCAGTCATGAAATTTGTACTACATGTACTATACCCATTAATACGGCCACCCAGTTAATACGACCACCCAGTTAATACGGCCACCCAGTTAATACGGCCACCCAGTTAATACAGCCCAATTTTCATGGCCCATTGGTGACTATTAACGGGGTTCCACTGTACTAGAAACCTTAATGGAATGTAACTTATGAACAGTTCCAAACAGCATAATTAGTTTCATTAAAGCTGCAGATTTGTGTTAAAACCCATCAGCTCATAAACCTATCATGATTAACTTGGGCATTGTTATAAAATCTCATGGTCTGACTTCTGGTGCTTACCTGATGAAGAATTATTGCTAGCTGCTGAACAATTTTAGGTTTCCATGATATTATAATAATTAATATGGATCCAAAATTCTCTCAAGTTAAGCAAATCTACAATCAATGACACTAGCAGCTGCAAATATTATTATAATAACTGCAGCTTATGAACAAAAAAGAAGCAATTTTGCAGTTTATTGGAAAAAAAAAGTAGTGTAGGTGTTATTCACGGTTATCTTAAAAACCCTCTCCCCTCCCCTCCCGTCCCGACCCCTCCCATTCACTCCCCTTCGCTCCCCTTCCCTCTCCTCCAATAGAAAAATGGTGACTGCTGCAGTCATATAAAATAACTTTAGAGCAGCTAACAAACTACTTGTATGTAGTTACATTGTAGATGAACCAAGCATATTCAAGCATGTTAAACTCATCGCAAATAGATGAGCTTGGGAACTGGTGCCTTAAAGGTTAGCGGGGTGCCAAAGCCATAAGCCGCT